TTGTTTATGAGGGCCAGGCCTAATTGGCTTGCCGCCAGCGACACCTCTGCGCCCTTCCCATCCCCCTCCCCCCGCACCCTCTCCCACACTCGCACACCTCAAAAGAAATTAGAAATGTGACAACAAACTCCAGTTATCAGAAGGCACAGCATCGCCACCAATCATGTGCTGGCCACGTGGCAGAGGGAGTGGGGCCCGGTGTGGGGGAGTAATTGGTGAACCCAAGGTGAATGAAATAATTGGAAAAGTGAGGTGTGAGTTTGTTACTGAAGTGTGAGCGTGGTGGGGGAGGGAAGGAGGGCCGTGTTTAAAAGCCCGGTATGTCCTCTTTATTCACAGCTTCCGATACAGTAATTGCTATTTTGTGGTTTCTATTATCCACACAGTGGGGAGCACACACGGCTCCTTCCCCGAGTGCTGGAGTCTGGGCACAGGGGGAGGCCTTGGGTGCCCTGTGACTTCCCTTCCTCCCCTGGTCCCCGGGGACCCTGCCCTGCCGCCCCCAGCGGGTGGCCTCCGCTCCCAGAGACCAGGGTTCACGCAGAACTTCTCCCAAAGCTGCTCACAGAAATAGCTCTGGCGCCCTTGCTGTCAGATAAGACCCTTAATAATAGCTGATATTTATATATCGCTTATCTCCAAGGAGCTAAAGGTACTTCATCGATTTCCTCCCCCAGCCTTTTATTTTTTTCTTTTTAATTCTGCTGTGATATCTCCCTGGGATCATTGGTATTGGCCTTATATTATGCCACACGGTCATAAAAGGCACCAAAGCCATTCGAGGACCCAGCATTGTTCTTGGGTCAGGAGAGGCTGCTGGGAAAAGAGAAAGAGCTCGTCCCAACATTTGCATCCGGGGGCTCTGGGACATGGGCAGGTCACTTTGCTGCTCTGGCCCTCAGTTTCTCATCTGTAAAATGGAGGAGGTAACACTATGGTCCCATCATTGTTGTTACAACTGGAAATACAATATTTAAAAGGGCTACCATGTGTGGAGGGAGCCCTGGTGGTGTGGTGGTTAAGCGCTTGGCTGCTAACTGAAAGTTCAGTGATTTGAACCCACCCAGTGGCTCCACAGGAGAAAAGACCTGGCAATCTGGTCCTGTAAAGATTACAGCTTAAGAAATTCTATGGAGTAGTTTTGTTCTGTCACTGTCACATGGGGTCACTATGAGTCAGAATTGGTTCTGCAGCACACAGCAGCATGTTCCGGTGTCCCTATGTGGCGTAAACAGTTAAGCACTCAACTAGTAACCCACCCAGAGGCGCTTCAGAAGACAGGCCTGGCGATCTGCTTCTGCACAGTCACAGCCTTGAAAACACTATGGAGCAATCCTACTCTGCATACACGGGGTCGCCGTGAGTCGGAGTCAGCTCAACGGCAGCTAACAACGACAACAACACGTTGTAGGTACTCAGTCATTGGTAGCTGTGGTGTGTGGCCATTCATTTCCTTACACAAACATCAGGAAGTTCCTTCTAAGATCTAACCCTAATCCTCCCAGTTGTGCCGTAAGCCTCGGTTCTCTCAGGTTCTTTTCTTAGACAGAAAGGAGAAACTGCTGCTCATCAGAACCACCTCCCTGATCCTCTGCGGACTAATGGGACTTTTGAAGCTACAGAGGTCTTCGGACAGAGCGTCCTATTCACAATGCAGATGTCTGTCTGGAAACATCAGAAAGGGACTGTGACCCCCCTACAAGACCCCACGGCTGCCTGGGACAGAATCCCCAGCTTCCTGATCCCTCGTGGATCCGGCATGCCCTCCATCACGGCTCCCCCTGCAGAGCTCTCAAATGCCACCTCTCCAGGCCACGTAGGCACAGCTCTCCCGCCTTTGCTCATCAGCCGTTTTCTCCACCTTTTAATTATTTTCCTTGCCTTTCTCCGGACCCTTAGCTGCTTACCATGCACGGAGCATCCCCAGCTTGCAGTGGGCTGCAGAGAGGGAGGCGTTAGCATCAACAATCTCTCTCCCTGTCTCTTCCCCTCTCTCTCTCTCTCTTTCACACATACACACCCATGCATGCACACACACACGTATGCACACGCGAGTATACACAAATAGACTGGCTCACCAGAAATGAGACAGGACTAAACAGAAACCTGGGCAGGGGCGATTGAGACCATCAAGGGAGAGGAGACGTGTAGCCCCCATGGGTGGAAGCAGGAGGCTTGAACGCACAGGGATGGAAGGAACTGGGACTCAGCCTGCCCTGCCCCCGGCTCCATGGTCTTGGGCAAGTCCTTGACCCCTGGGTGTCTGCCCAAGGCATTACCTCCCTTTGTCACAGGTGGCTTCCGGCTCCACCCCTGGACCTGGCCAGGCCTCAGAAAGAAAGAGCCCTCAGCTCATGAAAGGACCGATGTCAAACCAGAAGATCCAAGGGAGATGAAAACTTTGTGTGGCAGAAAGAGAAAGCTCAGGCTTAACGTCCGACGTGTCTCAATTCAAACTCTAGCCCTGCCACCTACGAGCAAGAACCACTGCCCCACTGAGCCTCAGTTTCTTCATCTGTAAAATGGGGGTGGTAATAATTCACATTGATACTGTTTATATTTCCCCCATGCACTAGTTCATTTACCCCTCTTCACAATCCTCTGAGGGTAGGTATAATTTATCACTGGCCATATCTCCTTTGCAGGGTGCTTGTTTGCTTGTGGGTTTGTTCCAAAAATATTTTCAGGCATCCCTCTCAGCCAGACACTTGACTTGTTGCTGTAGATCCAGCCAGAGGCGAGAGATGTGGTTTCCACTGTCGCAGAGCTGAATTCCAGCCCCAGGGAAGGCAGAGGGTTAAACAGGCCTCACCCCCAGAGCCCTGATGGGGAGCACGCTTGACAGTGCTGGAAGGGCGTATCCCACCCAGCCTAACGGAGGGCAGGAACGCTTCTTGGGGCAAGGGGGCTGGGCAGGCTGGTGGTGAGCCAGGCAGGGAGAACAGCATGCCCAAAGGGGACTGTGACCATGTCTGCAAAGCACGCAGCATGATCCGGGTGCATAGTAGAGGCTCACCATGACCCCCATGCTCTCTACAGCCTTCTCATAAAAGCAAACAACAGTAACAACAAATCTTTGCCGTGGAGTTGACTCCAACTCATGACAACCCCATGTGTGTCAGCGTAGAACTGTGTTCCACAGAGTTTTCAATGGCTGGTTTTTCGGAAGTAGATCACCAGGACTTTCTTTGGAGGTGCCTCTGGAGTGGACTCAAACTGCCAACCTTTCGGTTAGCACTGGAGCACATTAACTGTTTGTACCACCCAGGGATTCCAGCCTTCTCATACTGGATGGGAATGCCCCCTAACTTGGGTCCTCATGGCCACCGGATGTGCCATCCCTGTGGCCCGAATGGCTGTCGGAAGAAGTTGGAGCCCAAGGAGCATTGATCTGAACACGCCTACAAGAAAACTCAACCCCCATCCCTGCCCTCTCACATGGAAGGAAGAAGCAGTGCGTCTGCCGTGGGCCAAGCCTGCCTTTAGATGGCAGAATGAAGCTGAGTTTGCGGGCTTGGCTCATCTCATCGCTCCAGCCTCACCTTCACGTCCCCACCTGCCCATCCCTGGCCCCTTGGAATCAGCCACGCACCCACTCCTGCTCACAGTGGGGCCCAGGCAGCCAGGAAGACTGACAGGGCTCCCTGCCCGTCCTCCATCCTGGGAGGCTGGCCTTGTCCCTGGCTGGCTGGGCTGCCTGCACAGAGGCGGCCGAGAGCGCCAGGAGGGGGAGCAGAGCTGCCAGGGAGCGCGTGGAGGAGACGTGCAGATTCATTTTGAGGCTTCATAATGCTGCATTTACACACCGGCCTGCTTTCAGAAATTGGGCTGGCAGATGCCTCGTCATGCTGGCAGGGCTGCAGGGTAACGCCTTGGATTTAGCTTATATCATTTCACGAGAGTTGACAGCCTTAACTGTGTTTTTTACCCAGTCGGTCTCTGGCCCTGAAGCCTCCTAGGCCGGTACATGCATGCGTGCGTGCCCAGGCGCCTGCAAGTGTGTGTAGATCTTCAAATAAAACAACACCTCTCTTCAGATGCTGGGCACATTAAATATTTATCGGCAGCGATTTGTGCATATATGTTTGATAAATGGACGTTAGGAAGGAGTTGAAGTGGGTGGGAGGAGTGAGACAGGAAAGCGAGAGAGACCCTGAGAAAGCCTGGGCCTTTTGTCCTGGAATTGCCAAAGATCTCGCCAGAAGCGGAGGAGAGGAGGGGCCGGGGGGTGGTCCAAGGCCGTATTTACCTTTGTGATCCCTGTCAGGAAGAGCCAAGCCATTCTGTTCGCCGGGCTTTGCCTGACTTGGGCTCAGCAGATAGCAGAAGGAACGCTTGGAGGAGAGGAGGCAGGGTTTACGGGAGTAGCTGTGTCACTTGTGTGCACCGAGCCGGCAGAAGTGTCGCGGACCCCAGGTCTGGGAGCAGGGGACTCCATCCGCCTTGCCAGCATAGGAGTACTCAGGTGCAAAAGCGGGTTGGAAGGTCAGGAGACCCCACTGAGCCCGCATCCAGATCCCGACCACTACACACTGGGCCGAATGCCTCCCTGACCTGGCCATGCGTGTACAAGGCTGAGTCCCCCCACTGAATATTTACCACCACAGGGACAGGGAGGACAGGTGTCCAGGTCAGTAGGAAAGCCAGCCTCCAGCTTGTAGGAGAGGAACGGAAAATTCTGTCAGCATCTCCGACCTAATCAGTTCCTCCCCCGCTCCCTGCCCAGTGTGATGGCCTGGGCCTGGGAGGAGAAGGCCATTTATGCCCTGAGCACATTGCACTGGGGAGCTGGCACAAGTGTGTGTGTGTGTGCATGCATGTGTGCTCGTGTGTGGCATGTATGCGTGGCATATGTGGGGTATGTGCGTATATGTGCACACATATCTGCATATGCGTCTCTTTTATCACGCAAAGAGACCCCTGTGTGTGAATCGATCCTACCCCCCTACCTCCCTGGCAGGTTTCCATTCCTAACCTGTGTGTTTTCTGTTTTGTTCCAGCACCTTCGGGGAGCTGAAGACGGTGCGCCTGCCGAAGAAGATGACCGGGACGGGCGCACACAGAGGCTTTGGCTTTGTCGACTTCCTCACCAAGCAGGATGCGAAGGTGAGCCAGTGGCCCGCTGCCTGGCCTCCTCTCAGAGGCTCAGTTCCCCCAGGGCTGCTCCCGCCGGCCCTTGTGGGGGGGCGTGGAGGTCTCTGGACAAAGGGAATATCGCCGCCACGTGCTGTTTGCTCTCTTCTTACCCGGCCCAGCATCCTGGGAGGGAACAGGCCTGGCTGTTTTGTTTAGAGAGGCGGCTGTTTTTATACTCTCCCCCTCCCCCCATTTCACATATGCAGGTACTGGGTGTCAAACTGTGGAAGTGAGTGGGTTTCCCTGGCTTCTCCAAGTCAGAGAGAAACTCCTGGGCCCGAGCCCCCAGAGGGCAGCAGAGAGGAAATGCTGTGTGTGTGGCTCAGAGATCCAGGGGCAAGGCTGGAAGGGAGGCTACAAGTCACCCCAAGCCGGCCCCTGGGGACACACCCCTGCCTACCTCCTCCCTGCTCATGGCTGGGAGTTCCAGTTTGTGCTGGCTGCCTGTGAGGAGGGTCAGGCAGGTGCCACGTGTACAAAAGCATGTACACGAAGGGACAAAGGTTCCTCCTAACGCCCTCGAGACACCAGGACACCTTTTATTGTTGGAGCAAGGCAGCATCTCTATATCTGGGTTCAGTGTAGCGTGATGGGGGTTCACTCTTGCAGTGGGCAGTGGGTCCTTCCCCAGCCCAGCAGATCTGGGGGACCAGCCATGTGAACTGAGCTCCAGCCGCATCCTGTGTCTGCTCCCCTGGCGCACGGAGCTCCAGGTCACAGTCCAAAAGGAAGCTGCAGCCACTCTGCACAGCAGGGAGCACTGGCCAAGGGCTGTCATCGTGGGCACCCTTCAATGAGCTGTGTGACATGACGGCACTTCCCTCTTTCGTCCTCGGGTGAAGTGAGGCTGCGGGCAGGTCTCAGTAAAGCTGGGCTCCCCTCTACCTCTGACGAGGCGTCTTTTGGAGAAGCAGAGAGTGTTTCTTGGAATCACACCCTTGGCCTGTAGTGAGTTGGTGTCACAGAGGCATAGTGGGTGGGTCAGCTGTACGGAGCCCAAGATGACGGCTCAGGGCCACAGCTGTGGCCTTTGTGGGCCCTGGGAACACGCGCAGGCAGAGAGCCCTCGAGAGCCCTGCCAGCCACCTTTGTCCTCCATGGGTTCGTCAGCATCTTGAGCTCAAGTGCCTGTTTTGTTGACACGTGGCCACATTTGTCTAGACATCTGCTCCTTTCCTCTCCTTGGCAGCCTTCCCCTCGCCTCCTGCCAGCTACAGCAGGGGCAGCACCCTCGTCAGCCGGCCATGGCCCCACACCCAACGTGGGGGCCCCACACCCCACAGCCCTCACACCCATCTCGTGGAGGGTCCCCATATCCCACAGCCCTCACACCCACCTTGCGGGGGGTCCCTGAATCCCACAGCCCTCACACCCATCTTGGGGGGATTCCCACATCCCACGGTACCTATACCCATCTTGTGAGGGGTTCCTGCATCCCACAGCCCCTACACCCATCTTGTGGGGGGTCCCCACATCCGACAGTACCTGTACCCATCTTGTGGAAGATCCCTACATCCCACAGCGCTCACACCCATCTTGGGCTGTCCTTGCATCCCACGACCCCTGCACCCATCTCGTGGGGAGTCCCCACATCCCAGAGCCCCTATACCCATCTTGGCAGGTCCCGCATCCCATGGCCCCTACGCCCATCTTGGGGAGGTCTCTGCATCCCACAGTCCCTGCACCCATCAAGGGGGGGGGGGTCCCTGCATCCCACAGCCTTACATCCATCTTGTGGGGTTCCTGCATTCCACAGCCCTTACATACATCTTTGGGGGGGGGGGCCACATCAGCTCAGAGAGAGGTAGTGCAGGGCCGTGGTTCGGGGCACAGGCTCTTCCTGAGGGCGGCTCGGCCCCCACCGCCTGCTCTGCACCTAGCTTCCTTATTTGTAAAACAGGAATGACGTCAGTGCCGCCGTCCCAGGACTCAGTTAGGTGATACACAGGAGCACTTAGCACCAGCCCTGTTGAGGGCACACAGTGAGCGCTCAGTACACGTTCGCTGTCTCTCCTTACCTCCACCACCCTGTCCAGGGACTGGCGCCGCATCCGGGTGCTCTGTCCACAGAGAGAAGGGTGTGCAGGGCCACGTTTTCCCTGCTGGGTTCTTCAGAGCCCAGGCTCCCATGGGGATAGGCGGTGAAGGCATAGGACTATTGTCATCTTCTGCATCTGGGGTTCCTGTGTAAGATTGTGATGAGCGGAGAAAATAGGGTGTGGGGAGGGCAGACTCCTTAGAAACGTCTCCAGTTAAGGGCTGATGTAACCTAGTGGTTAGAACACAGTCGCTGACGCCAGACTGCCTGAGTTTGAATCCCAGCGCGGGGGTGTCATGTACCTCCTGTGTGCCTCAACTTCCCCCCTTATAAAATGCTGATAGGATTTTCCTCATCAAGCTGTGAGGTTTGGATGAGGTGATGTTCTTGGAACCAGGCCTGGCAGCTGTGAGTTCTGTTAGCTATGAGGAGGAGGAGGATAGTGGTGGTGGTGACATTGTTGAGGATCTAAAAATAAGAAGGCTGCAGGGAGGGAGAGCCCTGGTGGTGCAGCAGTTAAGAGCTCAGCTGCTAACTAAAAGGTCAGCAGTTCAAATCCACCAGCCACTCCTTAGAAACCCTATGTGGCAGTTCTACTCTGTCCCGTAGGGTCAGTATGGGTTGAAATCTACTTGACAGCCATGGGTTATGGGTTGGGTGAGGAAGGAGCAGTGAGAAACAGCTTCAGAGCTTCTTCCACTGGAAGTCAATATCCTCTTTCCAGAGCCACGGTTGATGTCTAAGGGACGAGACGGTTAGACCAGGTGTGGGGTCCCAGCCTAGCCATTTCCACACTGTAGTAAGTACAGTCTTGTTGTTCGAGACCACAGAGCAGAAGATGGGTTCTCAGGCAGACAAGGCAGTGTGCGTCACTGGGGCCACACCGAGTGGGCAACTGGCCAGCCCTCAGCCCAGCCTCCAGCACAGCACACCAGTGATTGATGGAGGTGGCTCCTGCTGCCTCCACACTCCCCTGCCTTCCATTCTGGGCTCCAGGAGGAGAAAGGGCAGCCGAGGACAGCGAGGACTCACCCACAGCCCCTGCCTCCTGCAGGCCTGGCTCTGGAGCTATTTCTGGCTCCACCACCACTGCGGGGGCTCTACCTTCCCGGCCCCAGGGCACCGGCCCTTTGTGATAGCCGCCCAGCACGCTGTCTTCCATAAGGTACGAGCCCACCATGCTGATCTCTCCTGCAAAGATCCCCTTGCTCTTTTCGCCTCCGAGGAAGCCGCCGTTGCTTCCTCCCTCTCCTTCTCCCAGTCTGAAGAAGTTTATTGTCTTCTGAGTGGAACAGGTAGCACTCTGCACTGACCCACAGAACGCACACACTGCATGTTGGTGAATAGAATTCTGGATATTGTAAATATCTAGTTAGCTCGAGGGTGGGCGTGCATTTAAAGAGGGACAGCTATACCACAGGAGACATTGAGTAAAAAAACCTCAGGGCTCTTTCTTCATCTCAGCAGAAGACAAGAGGGAGAACCCCAGGGCTGGTAGGGGAGCTTCTGGGATCCCCAGTTTCCAGGCAAGCACCCCCTAAGTCTTTCTCCTTCTTGTGAAGCACTTTGGGGAAGGAGACTTCCTTTAGAAGCCCTTTCTGGGGTTTGATTTAACCCTGACCCATTTGAATTCCTCACTAGGACTCTAATCTCATTTCTCGTCATGGTGCCCTCAACGGAGAGTCAGTTGCTGATTTTGGCATCCGGGGTCAGCAACCTCTTGAGCCAGGAAATCTAAGCCACCGGGGCAGGGGCAGGGGGTGGAGGGCTGGGTAGCACAAAAGGTTTGCATTCGACCACCTACCTGGTGGTGCAGTGGTTAAGAACTCAGCTGCTAACCAAAAGGTTGGCAGTTCAAACCCCCCAGCCACTCCTTGGAAACCCTATGGGACAGTTCTATTCTGTCAGAATCGACTTGATGGCAATGGGTTTGGTTTTTGGTTTGGTTTATTTACCTAAAGGTTGGCAGTTCAAACTCATGTAATGGTGCCACAGAAGAAAGGCCTGACAATCTGCTTCTGTAAAGATTTCAGCCAAGAAAGCCCTATGAAGCTCAGTTCTACTCTGTAGCAAACATACGGGGTCACTGTGAGTCAGAATTGACTTGATGGCAGTGGGTTTTGAGGGGGGCAGACAAGCAGTCCTCAGATGGGAGAAAAGGAAAAGGGAGGAAAAGATGAAAGGGAGTGGGCAGATATTAGAGGAGAGAGGCAGGAAGGAGTAAACACTGATTATAGTCCCTAGAGGCTGGAAAACAGTAGAGAAATGATTGGTTTCTGGGAGGGACCAATGCTGGGGCTCAAACCAGGTATCTTGACTCCCAATACAGTGCTCTTTCCCCAGTGCCCACCAGTCCACCTCGCCCGCTGGTGGGGGATAGGAGAAGTAGGGCCCAGTCAGTTTCTAAAAGCATCCCCTCCACACTCCAGTCTCTGCTTTGGCTCTAAACACGGGCCGTCTCTGTGCTCTCCAAACCCAGGGCCTCACACCTGCTGACCTGCCTCCCCAGGACCCGTGTTCCACCTCACGCATTGGGGGTTCTGTAATCCAGCAAGCCCCTTCCAGGTCAAGCCCATACCCCCAAACTGGAAGAATCCCCATGAGAAGCTCCACACAGGCCGTCGTGGCTGAGCTCAGAGTAACCAGGCAACTGATAAGAGCAGCACAAGGCTCCGCAATCGCCAGCTTTGTATGTGACACGTTTCATGCACGCACGCACGCACGCACGCACGCACGCACATTGTCTCCACCAGCCTCGAGGCAGCCAACTCTGCAGAGCAGCTCCGCCCCGTTGCCTGGAGCAGTTGTTAATTTCCATCTTTCCATCCCCAAGGATTGATGGGAGTCCCGGCCCCTGGCCATATTTCTGAGATGGTGTGGCAAAATGGGGGAGGGACGTGGCCATCTGCCCTCGTCACAGAGTCATGAGAGG